GGAGGCCTTCACATCTTTCGGTGGCTGGGCGGGAAAGGCGATGTTGGCATGCAGAGCTACGCGCTCTTGGCCGCAACACATCTTGCAGGCTCTTGAGCAGGAGGTGGGCTCCCTTGCAGTGACTCCACATGCCAGCAGGTTGGCCTCGCTACTTGGCGATGTACAGATGGAGGTGCGGTTGGTGGCCTGTTCAGTTCTACCCAAGCTGCCGGAATCTGCCTTTGCAGAATTTGGCCTCTTGTTGGTGCAGATTCTGAAAGACAGAGGTGTTAGCGCAGCCTTGAGAAGTGCAGCTTGCAAAGCAATGTCTGAGATATTGAGCAAGTGGACATCAGAAGCAGTTGCTTGCCGCAGCGCCCTGTTGGCAGAGCTTTTGGACATTGAGGAGTTGGAAGAGGCTGCCTGCACCACCATGGCAAAGCTGCCGCAGAACCTCTTGGTCACCCACCTCCAAAGGCTATCTGTGAGCGTGCTTCGTTTGTCTTCAGAGGTTGCTGAAGAATTTGTGGACATTGTGAGCTTCACCCAGGTGCAAGATACAGAAGTTCAGAGGGCGGCCATCTCCATCGTAGACAGGTGGTCCCATTCAGGATGGGTGAAAGCTTTGTCTCACCAGCAGGACCTTGTGCGCGCCGCTGCCTGCAGGGTCATTGTCCAGATGCCTGGGTTTGTGCTCGTTCACCATGAGAAGCTATTGACTGGACTCTTGCAGGACTGGAATTCCTCGGTTCGAGCCAGCGCATGCTTTGCTTTGGGCCACTTGCCGGCTGCCCTTCTTCCTGCCCAAGTGGTGTCGCTGCTGGATGATTTGCAATATGAGGTGCGCCAGGAAGCATGCTTGGCTGCTGCCAAGCTGCCACAAGGTGCGCTTGCGCCATGTGCTCTCGCTGTACATGCTCCGAATCTGGCGCAACTGATGCAAGATGACGACGCAAATCTGATGATGGCTGCATGCACAACCATGGCTCGGTTGCCAGGGCATGTCATGGCGAGGTATGCGACGCAGATCTCCAATGCCCTTCAAGGATTTCCAAGCTTGGCCCAGGAGTTTCATGGCATCAGCGGCTGGCTGCTGCATGACCAACTTGCGGTGCAGGAGGCAGCCTGTTGCATAATGACAATGTGGCCCTCAGAGATGGTTGCTCCCCACATTGCCTCAGTGGTAGGGCTTTTGGAAGTTCTTCCACATATTGCTAGCGTCCTTTTGGCAAAGCTGCCAGTAGACCTATTGGTCCCGCATCACGTCAAATCCTTGTCGATGAAGTTACTCCATATCGGTTCAGATGCAGCTGAGCGGTTTGTTGGGATTCCAGGCCTCC